CTTTCCCTATAGCTTTTGTTCTCTTATTTGCTTTTTGTCTTTTAAAATTTCTCACCTTGATCACTCTTCTTGCTATTCACTCCCCTTAAACTTGAGTCCTACTCTTTGCTTTCTCAGACTTTTGCCTTCTGTAACGTCGAGGCTCTGAATGTCCCTTTGCTGCAAGGAGGATGTAACAATAGCTGACAAATATATAGCATTTAAGATTAGAGTCCAGACACCATTCTAAGGGCTTTTAATATAGTAACTCACGAATCCTTTCCACAATCTTATAAGGTAGATACTATTATTGTCTCCATTCCTCAGATGAGAAAATAGACACATAGGGAGATTACAAAATATGTCCATGGTCCCAGACCCAGGATTTAAGCACAGACAGTAGGCTCCAGTGTCTATGCCCTTCACTATTACTGCCTGATGTGAATAGTGAGGGCCGAGATCTAAATGTTAACTAGCTGTTTCAGGGATGTTTTTTAATTTACCAGTGTGACTGTGCACATTTGTTGTAAGTGTGTATGTGTGTTCAAATGTACTGGAGCTCATGGCAGAGAAGTAAAAAGTTATGGAAAAAAGAAGGGTGGCAGTGTTTTGTCAGTAATTCCATTGGCATCTAGCTCCAAATGTATTGATTTAAACCCAAATATCTTAATTAATTGTTATAATTTCATACATATGGACAGATGGAAGTACAGTTTAGAAGAAGGCTAATGATGACCAGCAGTTCATTTCCACTGAGCAAACTAAGCCAAACTCTAATGTGAAGGCTCAGGTTAGTAATAGGAAAGTTCACCTGTGGTGAGGTTAGAAAGGGAAAAAAACTCCCCTGTCTAACAAAGGAACAGAAGACTAGAATGTCCTCTTTGGGTATGTTTAAAAATAGGTTGAGTCTTATCTTTTCAGGAAGGTTTAATACTGTCCGGCTGAAAGCCAAGGAGCTGCAAGATGAGCCCAAAACCCCTTTGAGCCTATAATTAAAGAATTCTGTGATGCTTTGATTTCAATTAAAGATAGCCATCTTTCTCCTTTTAAGGGTGAGGCTGGGAGCTGCTTCCATTGCTTTTTTGTTGGTTAAGTAGGGAAATCACTACCTATAGAGACTCTAATTAAAGGAAACACCCCAGGTCCCACCCCTCTCCCCTCACCCCTGCCTAAGTATTCTAAGCCCGACACTCATTCGAGTCACCTTGTGACTTTGCAAGGTCTTATCGTGTTTGCCTGCAAAGTCTTGAATTTCCAACAGAAAGTGAACTCTCCTGGGAGCATTAACGTT